TTCCATTTTGAATGGGTGTTTAAATGATCAGGCTTATTGAAACTTAACATTTCGTTAAAAAAAACTTTAAATTATTTATAAAAACACTAATTAAAGCAACTATCTGACTAGACTATCAAAAAAAAAACAAAATTCTTTACGCAAAATAAATGTTTGCCTTTCTTAATGAATGTAATGTGTGCTCATGCTTTGCATAGTTGTGCAATAACAGGGTATGCTAAGCCAATAGCTGTAATGAGTTGTAGTGGGAGTGTCAGCAATGGGCGGGCTAATGGAGCTGTGAATGCGGCATGTCTGCTAGCAACTGTTTTTGTATGCGAGGGCCTGTGCCTCGAGTGCTTAGACAATCGTGTTGAAGCTTTGATTTTCGAGCTTACGCCGGATTTGGCTGTGCACTGTAGCATACTTATGAGGGCTGCTGCTAATTAGCTGCGACTGGCCAAAACACACACGCACACGCACACACCCGAGCTACACACTATGTATAGAGTGCGACATTTTGACTAAGTAATAGTCGAACTGACAGACAGAGTGACTGTTAAAGTGTTGAAATGTCTGCCGCAGCACTTAATTAATTAATGTCAGCGGCCATCGAACGAAACGAGAAAACTTTTCCACTGCCTTGAAAACTTGGCAGCTACTTAAACATTTGCTAAGTCAGGGCGGGGCGTGCAATATTTGTCAGTGAACTCATTAAGCAAATTAATAGACAAAGTTGCCAGCTGAGCATTGACAATGCAAGTGGCGCGATGCTGGTTTTGCTTTTGCTATTGCCATTGCTATTGCTGGGGTCGGTGGGTGCACAAATTTATTTACTTCTGATGTGTGGCAATAAAATGGCAACGCAATAAAAACCAAAGTCAACAAACAATCGCGCGACACGCAGAAATCGATTATGGACGCCTCAAGGCAGCAGCTCCTTCAGTGTGCCGCCACCCAAAGAGTGCCGCAATCACAGCCACAAGCCACGTTTTCGATTTTGCCATTGCCAATGGACTTGGCCACCTGATGCCCCGGCTTTGAAATTGCCAACGCTGCAGTCGGCAAACCAAAGCGGAAGTGATTTATACGTATCTGTGTGAGAGCTGCATATGTGTTTGTGTCTGCTAGTGTGTGCTTGTGTGTGGGTGTAGGGATTTTATGACCCTTGATAGTGGCAAGCGATTTGTAGCGTTGCATTTTCAATTTCGCAGCATGCACTTTGGCAACTTTGAATAATGCAATGGAAGGGCACCAACTGCACGAACTCCAACCCCAACGTTAACCAGCTCTGACTTCGCATTTTGGCAGCTTATTAAGGCGCTGCCCTGCTGTTGTTGCTTCTGCTGCCAGCAGGTCTCCTTTTATTTTTTGATCATTTTCAAACACGAGCGCGCAATTCGAGTGCAGCAGCATTTGCCATGTGGGGCAAGTTGACATATATGCGGCACGTGCGCTGCTATATGTGACCCACTGTCTGAGTGCACGTGTGTGCCACTGAGTGCCCAATCTGTGGCTGACGATTGATGCGCCCGACACCTACACACACACACAAAGGCATACGCAACTGCAATCACAAGCAGCTCGTTATTGGCCTGCGACTGCGGTTAGCCCTTGCACTTCAATAGAACATGTGAACAAAAATAAAGACAGCAGCTCCAACAATAAAGCACCTGATTTAACCAACATGTTATATCACCGTTAACTGTAATATAATAAAGGTTTCCAAACGAACCTGAGCTAAAAGCAAGGAGTGAAAGCGCATATTGGTTTTGTGAAGTCTCCGTCTTGCTGCCCGCCTATCCATAGATTATATATCTACCGATCGGGCAACCATTTAAAGTCTACATCTTTGAAAGTATCAGAGTTAGATATAGATAAAAATTCGATTATTGAGCTATTATTGACCTTCTCTATCTATTCCTATCTATCTCTATCTACACCCTGTGATTTTCACATTTGGGATCCAAAGACTACTGTAGACACCTTCTAAGTAAAGTTAAAGCTATGGAGTGAAAAGTAGAAAGACTCTAGAAGGTAAATCATAAAAGGAAGAGTGTTTATATATATATATGTCTTATATAATCTTAAGTAATTCTGAATATTTTTGAAGCTAGCTGGAAAGCATTGCCACCACAATCTAACTCACAAAACTTCCAGACACAATGATTGCGTTGCGCACCTAATGAAAGGAAAACTCATTCATCAGGATCACAGGATCAACCAGAGTTGAATCAAACGACCCCTCAATCCTTTACAATGTTGATTATGTATTAATGAGTATTTGCAGCCACCTCATTTGCATGCGCCCGCGATTTTATTTTCCATATTATTCTCTTAACTGCGGCCACTCGAAAATCGTTTAATTTTCATTAATAGTCAAGTGGGTTTTCATTCAGGATTAATGTGCCATGGCCATGGCAACTGTATTCGCATTGTGCTCGTGCCGTCTGCTAGTTAAATGCGTTAAGAGCATAAAAAATTAAGTTAAAATAAAAATAAAATGCGGAATTATGCATGCATTTTTAACCGTTGTCTGCGCCGCATTCATTTTAAACAATTTACCTGCCACACAAAAAATAAAGGATACACAGAAAACCACATAAGCATATTATTTTAAAGTCAGGAACTTAACGCATGGAAGTTCCCAGAAGCCAACCGCCTGCAACTTCAGCCACTTCAATTTCAAAAGCAGCTGCTACTGCTGCTGCTGCTGCTGCTGCTGCTGCTGCTGCTGCTGGGGCTACTGCAGCTGCTGCTGTAGTCATTGCTAGTGGCCAGTGTCTGTTGGCTATTGGCCATTGGCTTGGGGGGAAGCAGCAGTGACTGCAGCTTTGGCAGCTCCCTGCAGCTCAAGTTTTCATTTCTCTTTTACGCTGTGCTGCTTTATTTCAATTCCTTTCAAAATAAAAGTATAAAAAATGAAAATATTCTTTTGAATTCCACAGATTTTTTATCCCCTTCCCCGTTTTCCCTTTTCGTTTCCACAATGCTGACTGTCGCTCCATTGTGCGTTTAATTCCGTGTTTGATTAGCGTCGTCTAGGCAGCTGTGTTGGCTTATTAAGCATACGCCCGGTTGTGCGCCCAGTTAAACAGTGAAAAACACACAGCCATGCATTAATAATAAAATTGTTGCAGCCGCCGCAGCAACCGCTATGCAAAATCGCTGCCAGTTGATGATAAACTAACTAACACATTTTATTTATGAGCTGGCATTGAGATAAAGCCACCATGTGCGGCATGCGGCATACGGAATGTGGCATGCGGCATGTGGCATGTGGCATCTGTCATGTCCCACATGCCACAACCAACCACAGCAACAATATCAAGAACATTTGCGGCCGCGCCAGTTAAACAATATTAAAAACAAGTAAGAATCTTTCAGTCGGGCGTTACCGACTGCATAATACTCCCTCCCAGTCTAAACTCCAAAACTGTTGAAGATATGCTTTTACCCATTTACCACGTCTCCAGTAGGCGTGGACATAATATTACGAGTGTAGATTAACTACAAAATGTTGGGACTTAGTGCATATAATGTAAGATATTTTCAATGTAACAATGTAACAATGTAATTCAATAAATGAAGCTTTAAGTTTCTAGCTCTGATGCCTTAGAAAATATATACCACTATGAAATTGCATATATAATCTATATATTTTTATATTCGAGTTGTACTCTCGAGTGTTAATTCCGAATTTCAGAATTTCCATATAGCACTATGAACGCAGAACTTATTTGTCACATCTCTAGCAGGGAACTGTGGGAGATATAATTTTAGCCTATTTGCCACGCCCATAATTGACATACGATGTATCAAGGCGTATCAAGGATGATCCACGTGTATAAATTCCACAAAACCAATATACTCTTACAATTCCAGGTCCATAACTGCAATTGATTTTATGTATATGACTTTTTTTAAAATATTTTCCGTTGAGCCCATTGAAAACTGAATATCAGGGTATAAATCTTTGTAGAATCCAAAAAGTATATATATTATTAATCATAACAATGATCGGAGTCTTTCAAGCCATATCCATCTGTCCATCCGTGCGTTCGTCTGTCCATCCGTCTTGAATTGCTAGAGAATGGAAATTTTTGCATTTTGATTAATTAAAAAGTTTATCAAAAGTCAGTTATTAATTTGTATCTCGAACGTCTTTGGAACGAGAGTCTCCAAATTTGACTTTTAGTTTCTTGTATATTTTATACGGCTTTGATTTTGCATTTGTTACATTTTGGATACCGGCTCAAAATTTCCCCAAATTCTTATAATTGAATTTAATTTAAATTAAGTTCACTTGCAAATAAATATATACGTGAAAGAGTAAGCATTTTTAGAAAACTGACAAATATAGATTATGCAGTTCATATGCTTAAAATTTCTCTCATATAAGTTAAGCATCACAGAAGTTATTAATCAAAACGTCTGACGAGGGAAAGTCCAATTGAAATTCCCATACATCGCACATTTTAACAAATGCATTCATTCTTTTCTAATCCAATGAAATTGCCATTGATTAAATTGTGTTTCAATTACAAGCAGCTGGCTTAATTTAGATTTGCAACTGAGTGCTCAAACAGTGAAATTGCGTTGGTAAAGGTGATGTCCGCTGCCTAGGAGATGATTAAAAGCCTTGTGTCCTTATTTCGATTGGTCGAGTGCTGCTGGTTTTCATTGTTCATTTCTTTTTGGTTTTTTGCTATTTTGGAACACAGATCAGAGGATCGAAAAGACTTGCATATTTTATAGAACAATGAGTCGAGCAAATTCGAACGGGTGGGGCCACAGAAGCAGCCAGATAAGTAATGAGTAGCACTTAGTGGCACACATAAATTTCGTTTAGTTAGGGCTTAAACAATGACCCAATGACTAGTCGCTGTGGATGCAAATGTGGGGCAGTTTGCACTTTTTAATTACGATTTTTAATTAAAGCAGCGATACGCAAAACCAATTTGCAATTGGCACTGGCTAAAATCTCACTCGATTTCTCTTTGCTTTGCATTCGCACACAGATATTGCTGTATCCGGAGGAGGGCTGGGCGCGCACCGCGTCATCCAGCTACTGGACCATCACACCCTGCTGGTGGCAGCCGAATCGTTGTCGCATTGTCGAATGCGCTGGCACGCAGCGGCAGGCAACCAAGGCCAGAATGCTGCCTATGGACCAGCAGGGCTCGCTGTTGATTGCCGGACACTTTCGCAGACCGTCAATAACAGCGACAGGCGGTGCTGCAACAGTCGCAACAGTGGCAACAACAACAACGGCCGCAACAACGGCTGGAGGGACAACAGCTGCAGCAGCAGCAGCAGCAGTATCTGGAGGAGCAGTAACGGCCTCTACTGCTGGCACAAATAGCAGCTCGCAGTCAAAGTCGAGGTCACAGCTGGCATACAATGATGAGTTTAAGCTGTATCTGACATCGAACATATCGATGGAGGATTACAACATGGGCTACTGCCTAACTGGATTCGTCGAGCGTCGCTGCCAGCTGACAAACACCTTTCAAATGACGCATTTCGCAGTCATCAAGCGGCAATGGCCGCCGCCACCGTCCAAGCTCAGCAACTCATAGGCATCCTGTCCCCTGTGATCCCTCTAACCACGCCCACTTAGTACGTGCTACCCATTGACAGCTGAGTGTATACGCTCTATGCTCAAAATCTAGCCATTAAGTAGTGCAATTTCGCAAAGCTGTGGCCCACGTGATAGCAGCAAAAATGCAATACAAAAATGTAGCATACTTTTCAGCGCCTCACTCAAAAAATAATTAACTTGTAGAAACTGCAAACTGTGGGCAATTTGTCGCCACATTTTTTTATGTTTGTTATAAGAATTTCTATGTGTGTACTAGTGCGTAATTTGTAATTTTAACTAAATGCTCTAAACGTGCTTAATTCGTGTGCTTTCGATGTTGTGCAAACAACGAAACCGAACAAAAAATAAAACCAAAACTCTTTACATTAAGCAGCGTAAAAATAAAATCAAAATATTCAGGAAGAGTGCACTTTGGCCTGCCGAAGATTTTATACCCTTGCAAAATTGAGAAATTATATTACAGACTTGATATAGGACTTCTACAATTCTTCTATAAATATACAAAATATGACTATTAATTTATGATACATATGTATGTATATAGCAAAATAATTTTATTCGATTTAATTTTTGCCTGAAAATAGATTTTAAAATCAAATAGGTTTATTCTTTCTTTATTATACTGTCTATAATTTATACACTCCATTAATTTATATAGGTTTATATACATATGTGTAATTTCAAATTCAAATTTTTGTGATTCATGGCCAATTCGTAAATGCCAATGCAAGGGTAAAAATAAATCCGAAAACAAATAACTGCAAAATACAAAAACTAGATGCTTTTAAAAGCTAAAATGCAACTAAACCGCTTTGCCGGCCAACGCACACACACATTACAATACATATACACATTACACCACACACACATAGCGCACATTCCATTTAAGTCAGGGCAGCTACTTAATGCTTAAAAAGTGCAACAAATTGAAACTTGTGCTTGTCGAAGCAAATGATTGTGTGCCAAGTAGCGTGCTGGTATGTGTGTGTGTGTATGTGTGCATGAGTGCTTGTGTGTGTAAGTATTTGTGTTTGTATGTGTTTCCTTTAACTACGTAAACGAGCATGTTCAAATGTATTGCCTTTAAGCTTGAAATTTGCGCAACTTAACAAACAAATTTTGCTGTTGTTTTCATTTAAGAGCATCAAGGCTCATCATCATCAATTAATACTGGCATCACATGGCATTAAGGCCCAATTGTAACTGCAGCAAAACTTACACAGCTTTTGCGTTTACTTTATCAAATAAACTATATAAAATGTTATAGTAAAGCCTTTAGTGCAATTTATTTATATTTATATTTATATTTATATTTATATTTATATTTATATTTATATTTATATTTATATATATATTTATATTTATATTTATATTTATATTTATATTTATATTTATATTTATATTTATATTTATATTTATATTTATATTTATATTTATATTTATATTTATATTTATATTTATATTTATATTTATATTTATATTTATATTTATATCTATATTTATATTTATATTTATATCTATATTTATATTTATATTTATATTTATATTTATATCTATATTTATATTTATATTTATATTTATATTTATATTTATATTTATATTTATATTTATATTTATATTTATATTTATATTTATATTTGTATTTTTTTACTTTAAAAGCTATGAAATATTTTCAAATTATTGTTTTAAGAAGCACCACCACCAACAGTAGAAGCTCATCAGCCAGCAACAACTAACGAACTCTTCGCGGCGGCAGAGCCAAGCGACTCTTCATCCATACTAGAACCAAGTCAAGAAATCCCCAAAACACCGCCAACTGCATTAATTCAAGAAGTTTCACAGCCACAGGTTGCTCCAACCGCTGCCCATCTCTGTCGACACCTGCCACAGCTGCCGGCTCATCCTCATCCTCATCGGCAGCGGCGTCACGTCAACTGCAGCTGCCGGCATTGTCGGCAGTTGCCGCACGGCAACAGCAGCTACTGCTGAACGGCTCGCTGAAGAGCAAGACGAAGACATTTACTGCGTATCGAGCATCGGTGCGCAGCGAGAGCGACGACAAGGAGTACAGGGCGGCTAGCAGCAGCAGCAACACGATACCGACGACGGGCAAAAGTCGGCCGGTGTCGCACTCGCTGGCGGCCAAGATCAGCGGCAAGAACTGTAACAATCTGCTGCACAACGCCGGCAATAAGCTAAGCGTGAGCAGCAACTCCTTCGGCCTATACGCAGCATCTGGCATCATCGCCCAAGAGCCCTGTCTCCAGCAACGGCCATCTGAACAAATACTGCCTGACGGACTTGACGCGCCGCAAGGCCGAATTCAATCGCCAGCTGAGCGCGCCGACAGACTACACACATCACTCGTCCAGTAACGGCTCATAGCATCGCTGGAGTGGTGGGACACAGTCATCACGGCCATCACGGGCACGTGCACGGCCAGTCATCGACGGCGCCAGCCACACTCAAGTCGCTGCAGCTGCACAACTTTGGTGTGCATCATCCGATGCCAAGGCCCACGTCCACGTTGTGCACCAACAGCTTCAACAGACGCCACATACGTAGGCGCAAGAGCAAGCTTAGTAAGCGCCTGCTGAACGGCGATAGCGAAGAATCAGTACGCTGCTCATACTGCTCCGTATTGAATGTGAATGAGAACGACTTGCGGATTTCATTCGAGAACACCTGCACCGACTCGCTGGTCACCGCTGCTAATATGCGACCAAGGAACCGAAATGGTGCACTTTGATGATGTGTCGTTGTACGGCACTCCGAAAGAGGAGCCATATGCTGTACTTTAATCTGCATTGGCCTCACTCTTTGGTGGATCATCGACGCAAAGAAGTCCGCGAAGCACTTGCGAGGAGTCGTCGCTGGAATTGGGTCGGTCGAGGACGACCTTACACTTGAGGGGGGGGTAGTTAACTTATAACACTTAGTTAGCTTATAACACTTAATATAAGGTATTATTCAACACTTATTATCGGGTGCTAGACAAGTTAAGGAACAGCCCTGGCAAGAGCAACTCTACTTACGCCGGTGAGGCTATGATTTGTAAAAATATAGATTAGTCTCGTGTTTTAACTCGTACTGATAGGACATGCTAAAAATTGGTGTCATATAAGTAAAACTAAAAATAGTGAATATAATAAGAAAAACCAATAAAATTAACTGTTTCGATTATTCAAAAAAGAACAATTAAAAGCAGGGTTAAAAAGCGTTCTTCCAGTAAACCGCTTAAATAAATATTCACTCCGTCATTTGCTCGTTAAATGGCTTATTTCATTGTCTGAGCCCGAGGCCAGCAATAAGAGGCACAGTCGCCTCTCAACCTAACTTTCAGTCACCACAGGACTGGAAAACATATAATTGGCGCCCAACTAGTGGTCGGACTCCACAACCAACAACAATTAAGACAGCAGCGCGGGAGCTGCAATTGACAGATCTTATAAAGGGATTTTTTTTTTTTTTTTGTTTTGTGTTAGTTGAATCTTGTAAGTGGATACTCTAGCCAAAATTTTTCTTCAAACACAAAAAGTGTTAAAATTTATTTTATAAAAAAATAGCTAGGACTAGCGAGTATTTTATATTGCAATTGCATGTAAAAAAAAAAAAAAAATTAATGATCAGAACCAAGTGAGAGTGACTACTTTGGGAATTTTAGTGGCAGCAATTGATCATTCAGATCGTCAATAAAATTACATTGTGTTACTTTCTGTGTGTCTGAAGTTGTGCATGCAGTTCTCGTAGTTCAGAACTGCGACGTAATTCGACCCATCTTCTGACGGCCCGTTTTATTTTTCGCGACCACTGACCTGCGCATGTCTCGGTTCAACCAATAGAGAAACCCTCGCAGGCAGTCTAGCGACTCAGATTCCGACTGTGCAGTTCTCCCACCATCAGGTAGAATGGATGTAGATCAGCTTACGGAAGTAATAAGGACGGCTATCAGCAAAGCTTTAGCCGAACAGGCTGCTGTAAACCAGCAGAGGGAGCATGCATTGACTCAAAGAATTAATGAGTTAGCTGAACAAATAGCAGATGCATCCCCATTAGTTAGAAGTTCTTTTTTGAAAATGCTGAAGACCAGACAAAAGGCCTTTGCAGACCCAGACGAGACGTTGCCGTATAACACATCAGTCGTGGCTACCATTAGGACCATAGATGAGCAACCGATCTATACCAAGCTTTACCCATATCCAATGGGAGCGGCTGATTTCGTTAATAAAGAAATCAAAGATCTACTAAAGAATGATATAATTCAAAAGTCCGTCTCTCCCTACAATAACCCAATATGGGTAGTAGACAAGAAGGGCACTTATGAAGCGGGCAATAGGAAAATGAGGTTGGTAATGGACTTTCGTAAACTTAACGAAAAAACCGTGCCGGACAAATACCCTATGCCAAATATATCAATGATATTGGGGAATTTGGGGAGAGCCAAATTCTTTTCAACATTAGACCTCAAGTCTGGTTATCACCAGATCATACTCGCTGAACGCGACCGTGAAAAAACCTCTTTCTCTGTGAACGGGGGGAAATACGAGTTCAAAAGACTCCCCTTTGGATTAAAGAATGCAGCAAGCATTTTTCAAAGAACCATCGACGACATACTGCGAGAGCAGATTGGCAAATTTTGCTATGTTGATGTCAATGACGTAATCATCTTTTCAGAAGATGAGGAATCCCACATTAAACACGTGGATCGGGTCCTAAAAAGCTTATACAAAGCAAACATGAGGGTCTCCGTCAAAAAGTCACGTTTTTTTAAGAAAAGCGTGAACTTTCTTGGTTTCGTAGTCACCAGCACTGGCACCACGACGGATCCTGAAAAGGTTAGGGCAATACAGGAGTATCCAGAACCAAAAACGCTGTTCGAGGTTAGATCATTTCTAGGCCTCGCAAGTTATTACAGATGTTTCATTAGGGACTTCGCCGCAATAGCAAGACCCATCTCGAATATCCTGAAGGGTGAAAATGGAACAGTCAGTAAGCATAGGTCCAGAAATATAAAGGTTCAATTCTCTGAAGTGCAGCAGAGGGCATTTCAGAAGTTGCGCGATATTTTGTCATCCGAGAATGTAATGCTCAGGTACCCCGATTTTAAGAAGCCATTCGATCTAACGACCGATGCTTCGGCTCACGGCATAGGTGCAGTTTTGTCTCAAGAGGGTCGTCCTATAACAATGATTTCAAGAACATTGAAGGACAGTGAGGTTAACTATGCAACCAATGAGAGAGAGTTATTGGCCATTGTATGGTCACTTGCCAAATTAAGGCACTATTTGTATGGGGTGAAAGACATTAATATCTTCACTGACCATCAACCCTTGACCTTCGCAGTTTCGGAATCTAATCCAAATGCGAAAATCAAAAGGTGGAAAGCGCGCATTGACGAGTCTAATGCACGTATCTTCTATAAACCTGGCAAGGACAATCTGGTTGCGGATGCCTTGTC